TTACTCCATTTACTTAAGTTTACAATGTAAATAAGGAAGTACCCCTATTTGGATTCAAATAAAAATACTAGAAAATCAAATTCCCACCAAATCAAAATATGAAAAATCGGTTTTAGTGCGAAATACGATTTAGGCTAAAAATGATGGCTCATTAAGTCAATATATACTTCGTACTAAAATCCCATAAAATCAAGTTTTCTTATTTGATGTGTAAGGAATAAAAGCCGGCAAAAATTATCTTGAGAAAATGATTATTCCGAAAAACCATTTTTCATACTTAGTCAATATTTTTACATAAAACATTTTTTCATGTATGATATGAATGCATGAAGGGACCTAAGGTTTGTTTTTAGTTTGTGAAATTTTGATTTTTTTTCTTTCTATTTGCTAAAAGCTTTAAACATTTTTCCTTTACATCACGATTGTGTTAACATTTCTTTTTTAGTTATTCCTTGTTCTTATTGATGGCAGTTGTATATGCCATAAACCCTCTGCCATATACCCTCTGCCATTAATGTATTGAGATTAATGTGCCTAATATGTTGTATAATTATGCCCAATTTGCAGATAAGGTTGAGTTATGCACTCTTGAAATTCACCCTGGGGTGTTTTGGAAGATGAGGTATATAAGGGTGGGAGAGTGTGTTTTTAGGACAAATTTGTCAATGACTATCTTTCACTGATGGAGGGTACACAGACGACGGTGAAACACCGTCTTCTAAAATGTCACAATAGAAGGTGGACACCTATGTAATAGTCTAATTGATGTGTACTAAGTGATTAATGTTTTATTTTCACTTGTTTAGGTCTTCTTAGTTGTAACTTTATATGTTATATATATGTTGTGGCTTGATGTCACATAATAAAAAGTCTCTAGAGATCGCAGAGTTTGATTTTGGTTTTGATTTGTGGGGGGCTCTTGTCAATACCCATTTGTTCTTTGATGCTGGCTTCATCTTCCCAATTTATTACTTGTGTAATTAGTAAGTTTCCTCACAAATATAACTGATCTCTAATTGGGGAGCTTTTAGTATCATGCGGGGTTAACCTCCTGCATCTCAAAGGGTACAACTTTTTGCATTGTGTGTATACTGAGTATAGTTTTAGTGTGGTAGCTGCTCAGAGATGGTTAGAAACATTTTTTTTATTCTTTTGTTAGAAATGCATCTCTTTTATTCATATTTTTGGACTCTCATCGAAGCATATATCCAGAAAATGTTAACAAAGGTAGAGTGCATGAAGTCTAATTATGACATCGTAAGATTCATACAAGACTATGACAAAAGAGAGGAAATTCAAGTTTCATGATGGTAACAGTGAGATGAAAAGCCAAGATGTATTTTCACCAAAAAAAAAAAAAAGAAAGAAAAGAAAAGCCAAGATGTGGCTGAAATTTTTGACTTGCCAAACAGAGGCAAAAAGCTACCAAGCACAACAAACTCATCAAGGCCGGAGTTAAATTTTGTGAAGAAATAATTCAAAGGTTATCAGAAAATAACAAAGACTTCAATTGATAAGTACTTGAACTTAGCATTTGAAGATGAAACAGAAGATGATTCTATGGATGTAACAAGATTGATAATCCTACAACTCTTCATGACCAATCTCTTCTGCACTGGCCTTACAATTATACTCGTCGATGATTCTTAAACCTTTACATCAAGATTGTGTTAACATTTCTTTTTTAGTTATTCTTTGTTCTTATTGATGGCAGTTGTATCTGCCATAAACCCTTTGCCATTAATGTACTGAGATTAATGTGCCTAATATGTTGTATAGTTATGCCCAATTTGTAGATAAGGTTGAGTTATGCACTCTTGAAATTCACCCTGGGGTGTTTTGGAAGATGGGGTATATAAGGGTGGGAGAGTGTGTTTTTATGACAAATTTGTCGATGACTATCTTTCACTGATGGATGGTACACAGACGACGGTGAATCACCATCTTCTAAAATGTCACAATAGAAGGCGGACACCTATGTAACGGTCTAATTGATGTGTACAAAGTGATTAATGTTTTATTTTCACTTGTTTAGGTCTTCTTAGTTGTAACTTTATATGTTATATATATGTTGTGGCTTGACGTCACATAATATTTCATCTCGTAGGCAAGAAATCCGTACCTCAACTACCTCCATGACTTCATTTCTGAAGTGTTGCATTCCTAAAAGGACACAAATTAATGTGCAAACAACCAATTAAAAATACCCGCAAGTGCACGAATCTATTGAGATATAGATTATGTAAGTATGGGGTCGATCCCACGAAGAACTTGTCGGTTTCCTATAAGTTCTAATTCGAGTACAAAGAGAACACTTAATTAACACACCACAAATGCACAAATGAAAGAGGGAAACTAGAAATGAGTAAAGAAGTGTAAAAGAAATGAAACAACACAAGAAAACTAAAGAAAAACACAAACAGCACTTTTTATCACCCTTTTATCACCTATGAACGAGGCAAAAGCGACCGGTCGTTTTTGGGCAGAGTCGAAACTCAAATTTTGACGTGAAAAGCGACCGGTCGTTTTTGCACAGAGTCGTTTTCTCTGTTTTTCAGTTTCGACCTCTGTCCAGTGTTTTGCCTATAACTTTCTAACCGTTTATCCAAAATTCACGTTCTTTATACGGTTGGATTCAGCACAGAAAATGCAAGAACACCAATTTGAGTACGTAAAGAACACTTATTTAACACACCACAAATGCACAAATGCAAATTGGAAACTAAAAATGAGTAAAGAAATGTAAAAGAAATGAAACAACATAAGAAACCAAAGAAAAACAGAAACAACACTTTCTATCACCCTTTTATCACCTATTTATCACCTGTAAAACAGTGCCGTGAACAGTGAACATGAACAGTGAAATGAACAGTGCGACCGGTCATGAACAGTGACTTATTTCTATTGCATGAAAGTAAATGGACTTTGAAATTTAATGAGAATAGCAGAGATGAATTATCAAAGAGTGGAAACAAAATGTAACAAACACTAGGGTTTCAGAATCCACCCTAAACAATTCCATCCATGTTCATGGATACTCAAGTGATGAACTCTAAACTTGTTGATGAAGATGTTCGCAATCAAGACCATGGGTCGTGGCTCAAGACGCATTGATTCTCTCTAATGTACGTAAAGTGCAGTACGAGTGCTACAATACTTGTGTCTTCCCTATAATCGAATCTAGGTGTGCTTAGTACTTTGATTCAATTACAAGAAAACCCCATTAAGTTCAAAGAGAATATGAACATCACAAGAATCCTAATAGCATGGTGTTTACATTAGGTATTCAAGAAACCAATTCACATGGATGATTCTTACTTCATCCATTTATTGCTTAGGATAACATGAAGATACACATAATCCCAACAATCTCAAGAAGCATGCTTTCAAAGGTGATCAATCAAAGAAGAACATACATCAAGGATAGATTAATTTGGTGAATTGGAATTCATCAACAATATCTAGAAATTCATACACTCAAGCATCAAAAAAATAAGGTAATCATGTTTAGGGCTTCAACCTAAGCCCTAGCTATGGAGTTTAGTTCCTCATAACCATTTCAAACATAAATTCGAAATATAACTAGAAAGAGTTTACAGATTTGGAAATGATGAAAGCTTGAAGTCTTCAATGGTGGAAGTCTTCCCCCTTCTTCCTGCGGCTGCACCTCCTTCTCCTTCCTTAGCTTTTAGCTCTCCAATCTGCTCCTCAATTGTGGAATGATTTAATGGATCCAATACCCCCGTTGAAA